GATCTGTGTTGGTGTAGGGAGGAAATGGAAGAACGGGCCTGCTTCTAGTAATGATAAACTGAAGAAGGGTCGTAATCGGCGCTGAAAATATGTCTTGGACTATTGATTCCTTCTATTTATTTCAAGTTTCAGCTTTGGCAAGTAGCGATACAGCGGTACTTAGCGCTCCTGAAATAGAAGGAATCAATAGTCCAAGACATCTTTTCAGCGCCGATTACGACCCTTCTTCACCCCGACATGAATTCAGTGTACATGATCATGTGTGAATCCCATCAGGGGGTCGTAATCTCTCGCCAGATAAGGGGGGTCGCATTTGGCATTGAGGTGTTCAGAACACTTTTGATTATTGACTCTCCCTTTTCCAGGCGCGCTACAACCGCTCCCGTCAGGCAGTAAAACTTTGGAAAATTGGGGTAGGAGGCGAACGTGTTGGGGTTCGTAGCGGTAGGTCGTGAGCGGGCTTCACACCCCCACCCCTTCTCTGAAAAAGTCGTTCTGACCGCATCCCGACGTTGTACCTTTGTGACTCTCCGAATTTAATCCACCCTGAGCTTGAAATCTCGTATTTTTACAAACTTTTTTCAAGGTTCAGAAAACCATATTGTGCCTTCCGCTTCGTACTTGTATTAACTCAGCAGTATGATATATTGTTCAAACAGTTCAATTTTCAGTAGAAAATATGTCCGGGCAGTGTACTGGATCCGACGTGGGGATGGGAGCGGCTTCCCCTCCTGCTGCCGGGAGAGTATCAGTCAGGTGAGTATCCAAAAAAACTTCTTTCTAGTAGGTATATTGATGGCCCATTGTTCAGATATTTATGCTGTCTGTTCTGCTGCCCACCTTTTCCCTCGTCGATAGTTTCGAAGCTGGCTTTCATGCCACCCGAATCCAGCTACACGATCACGGAAAACAATAGGTACGTGCCATTATAGTATTACTTTTTGGTACAGTCCGGCCTGAGGGTGAGGGGGTGGTAGGGCATTTCGTAAACTTCTACAAGCTGCTGCATATCCGCAAAATCTTACGAAGTTCTTTTTCGAAATATTTTCTGCTTTTTGCTTCACAGTAATGTCGCCCCATCTTTTTCGATCGACGCTAGAAAGCTTTTTGATATTGGAGGTGGCGCAGTGGCAAGTGGGCCGCTTACCACGTGTACGGTCCGGGGATTCAAACTCCGCACCGGCTCACGCCCAGGCCAGCCCAGCCTTCTACCTTCCGGGGGCGGATAACTGGTATCAGAGTCTACTGGGAGGATAAGAGCACCTGACTTATACATCGGCCGGCCCATCAAGTTATAGTGTAAGATTGATTTGACCCCTTGATCAACAGCGAAGACTTTATTCTCTCCACGTTCGCCTTGCTTCTAACTGGGCATTTTGTACTTATATAATGGATAACTTCCTTCTTATGTCGAACAGGTTTGACGGGAGCTTACACGCCTTTGGAACGAGGAGGATGTTGAAATAGGTACCAGGCGTAATGAAAGATTCCGTCGTACAAACCTGTTCGTCATAAAGAAGAAGTTATCGATTTTGTTATCCTCTTATCCTTTATTGTCCTCCTTTCGAAGCGACTTTTACCTATTTGGGAAAATCCTCATCCCCAGTTTCACAGTAGTTTCTCTGTATTCCCTACTCTTAGTACTATATACATCTAACATGAAAAAAATAAAAGAGAAGAAGCGATGAAGAGAATGGAAAAAATAATTAAGAAAAAACGGTGAGGAGGGCACTTGCCATAACATAGCTTTAGAAGAGTTTACGGCACCGCCGAGCCAAGCTGCCGCTTACTTTCATTTGGATATTTGCTTTTTTTCTAGGTTACACTTGCTGGAAGGGCGTGCGGAGTGGCCGCATGATCCTGACCATCTGGCTACAAATGTTGAGATGTTCGTGGCAAGGTCTGTTTTTTTTTCGAAATACTTCGTTATGCAGTGTATGCATTTCATCTACAATCGTTAATCCAGAACTAGAAGAAGAAACAAGATTTCCGTGCGTTTATGTTCGCCCTGTACCAAACGCTTACTTTACGCTACTGTTTTCGCACGGAAACGCTGTAGATATCGGACAAATGACATCATTTTACTGGGGCCTCGGTCATCGTCTTGGTTGTAATGTGTTCAGCTATGATTATTCGGGTAAACCTTTTACTTCTATATGCAATTGTTTGCTTTGTGACGCAGATGCAAGGGCAGTTTTGTTGCACTTTTCAGGATACGGGTGCTCAACGGGCAGGCCATCAGAGAAGAATCTTTACGCCGATATAACCGCAGCATTCGAAACGTTAAAAACAAAATTCGGTTAGTTTACTTTCCATATTCTTCATTAGATTGCAGTTCTGTTATTTGCAAGCTGTTTTCGTCCTCGGTTCCAGGCTTTCTTTCCCAAAAGGTGAATCCTATTATATTGGGTTGGGCTTTGTGAGCAAATGTTTCGCGGTCACGTGTTCACAGACATTATTGGTAGAGTGCACTGTACTTGCACTACTTACTTACTCACTTGTTTGGTCAACCTCCTTGTACGTCTTATCGAGAATCGAAAACTGTTGCACTATGCGCCTGGAAAATGAGTGACAGGAATTATGTCCGGAGCATACATTCCGACGAATTCCAGATTTCTGAAGCTAAAATTTTAGAACTATGAATTTCAGAGCTATGTACTAAACGAAAACCACAGTCGCAAATGGATGTGGGCTAGCCATGGACAATTAATCACGTTACCGGACCACGAGCCGTTTTTTGTTGTGCAGGCAATTGCCCGTGGAGCGGCCGTTTCTTCTCGTATTGTAAGCGAAACTTGGTAATTTTTGATAAATGAATGGCTACGGTCAGTTTAAGAAATGCAAGATACGAATCTCGAATCTTTGACACAATTTAGCTTTTATTGCTCCAATCTTCCAAAACCAGGCCATTTTTACCAACTTCTTCCTCTGGAGGCAGATTTGGCTGAAAATTTGTCTGCCGGGTAGTTTGACCTCCTAAAGATCATTATTGCATCCCCTTGGCCCAGAATGTTTGTTCTTGAACTAATTTTATGAAAAGAAAATGAAACAACCGCGTAACTGTCGGACAGCATTCGGGTGACGCCGTCCCACAAGACAAAATGGCTTTCGTCCACCATTGACGGAAATCGTCGTCAACGCATCAAGTGGATATGATATTCTTGTTTAGGGGGTCGAACTACCCTAGGGACAAGTTTTCAGGAAATTTAATGGTCTAGGACATTTTGGCGCCGGCGCCTGTGGCGCGGGCGCCAGGCGGTTTCGTGGCAAGCGATTGTGATATTCGTGTTCACGGCGTCAAACTACCCCACGAGCCAAGTTTTCAACTAATTTGGTGATTTACGGTATTTTGGCGCCGGCGCCTGTGGCGCGGGCGCCAGGTAGTTCGTGCCAAGCAGCTGTGGTACAGCTGTGGTATTCATTTCAGAGAGACAAGCTACTCCTCCCCCCTCTCCCCCCTTCCCAGGGACACCTTTACGATAATAAACTTGGCTGTTCGTCCATCTTCATTCTTAGAAAATATACTGGCAGACACCATTGTCTGCCATCGTCGTCAACGTGTTAAGGCACCTAAATTTCTACAAGGGCACAAATTCACGACAAATTCCAAAGAACGGCATCTGTCTTTAAAAGAGATAATTCTGTAAATGAGCGAGCAGTGCGTGAACATTCCGTGTGTTTTGGGCAGATTAATTTTTTTAGCGATTTCGCGTTGTGGCACGTGGTTTTTAGCGATTTCGTTTTCGTGTTGTGGTACGTGGTCGCCTACCACGCGTGCTGCTCGGCAAGGGGGGGGGGGGAGGGGCAAGTCCCGATGGGCTCTCACTACGGCCAACCAAGTCTCCCACAACGGTAAATGTTACAGATTATTTAGGGAGAATGAGAGCACTGACTTCTACAACGGTTGGCCGCCGCAACTTATTTGTAGGCCACATCGCATTCAACCGCTATGGCTCTGAATGGGAAAAGGCTGCGTTTCGCATCCTAGAAGAAAAAATTGGTCGCTGCATGTACTACTAAAATTGCATCATTCTAAAAAATGAATCATCTTTTTTCTGAGATGATATTTGAGAAGGGCCAGCGCTTCAATACGCCTCTCACGTTTGATGGTGGCAAAATCAAAACTTTCATCACAACAAAACCACTAATTATTGCTCGTTAGGTAAATTGAGACTCATAGTTTGCCTTTAAATGTTCATCTCTGTGTAATGGCCTGACTTTGATAGACGCGTTGATTTTTGGCCACTCTCGATTTAAGCGACTTAACTAGTTAGATCACATTACTTCGGCGATTTAACGCTCAAACTCAGGAAAATGAAACCTAATTCCTGTGTGTGTTAATGAGTCATGAAAAAAGAATTGAGCATGATAACCTAGAACAGAAATAATCGTCATTCCATTGGAAAGTGTTCATCGTTGTGTGGCGCGGCATAATAACCCCACCAATATTGTGCCTTTCACCTGGATAACACTGAACCATTCTCGAGGTTGGCTAGCCAGCTAAAGTTGCTTAGTTTGGATTTCTTTTTGCATGCCCCGTTTGCTTGCATCATCGGAATGCCATTTGTTTCGGCCTATGCGAAATGCCTTGAATGGAAGGCAGAATAACCCTCTGGAGGACTGCAAATAGCACCTGAAAGGTTTTTTGACATTAGGTCAATCGAATTAAGTGGATCGATCGGTTGGTCTTTCCAAAGGAGGGGGACAGTGAATATAATATGAAGATGGGAAACTCTTGATGGACAAAATGGGAATTGTGTTGTAAACCGATCTATTTTCTTATGAACTATTGTTTCTCATCTAGCTTAAAAGCTGCAAAGACTTTCCTTGCAATCCAGTAGCTCCCAGTTATTATTGCAGAGCGCAATGTGACCAGAACCTAAGAAGCCGGTATAATTTTTTTTCATATTTCTATTGCCCCAGTAGATTTCTTAACTGTAATCGAGGACTTCTAGTATCTCTCTGCTTTCACAGTTCAGAAATTCCTGTAATTCGCGTGATTCTTGTATCAAGAGCATGAACATTATAAATAACGTGTTGAAGCTCCCTTACTATCTCATTCGTTATCAGATTACGTGGTTTTCAAAACTAAATAACAATGAATTGTAGTGTATAAAGAATAGAGACCGTTGACTGTTCCATCCGAAACGGCGTCTGCGCTAGGGAAAACGTCTTAGAAGTCAGGCCCTTGTGCCGTACAAAGTTTTGCAGCACACTCGAGCGGTATTTCGATATGAAGTCACATTTGAAATCCCCAATAGCAGAAAAGCCTTCGTCTTTGCGTATGGACATGTTTCACTTGAAAATTTCCGGCTAAGAACAGAGAGTGCCGGAGCTGGATTTCGCACTAAAAAAAAAATAACGATCCATCGTTATGCAAACGCCGCAGCCCTTTGCTGAGTCACTGGTACATGTCGTTGAGGTCTTTATGATATGCACGTCGCCTCGAAATGATTTTAAAATATTGTCGCCGACTACAGCGATGATGTCATTGTGTATAGCGGGATTATGCAGCCGTATTTACCCAATGCTGCCAAATTCTCCGAAATTCAGGCCAGGTTTTAATCGAAATCTTCCTTTCGATGTAGAGCTTGTGAGAAATTTGTTCTACGTGGTGGACTGACTTTCCTGAATACGAGTATCGCAGGTGTGGCTGTGGTTACTGGTATGGTGGGCCCCGTGGCATGTCTCGCGTCTGCGATATCCTCATCGCGCATCGTGTAGCAGCGAAGTTTTGGGCAAATATTCCGTGAGGTGAAAATCTTGATCAAGGCGTCTGAATTTTGGAAAGGGGTGGTAAAAGGTAAATTGTGCCGATTATGCTGATGTACAAAATATGTGTTTTGTTGATTTCTTTGTTTGTGAACATCGCCGAGCCGAGGTGTGTCAAAAATGTAGGTGAGGGATATCTTACAGTGGGAGTAAACTGGTACAAAAGAATGGACTTCCCGTAATCTTAGAAGTGCGTAGGCTTCACAGACACAAGCAATGTATGAGTTGCACTTTCCCATCCACTTTGCGTGGTAGAATGCACAGCGTGAATAAAAATGAGACCAGTTGAGGTCGAGCCCTTATTTCCCAAGCCTGTTCGTCCTGTGTTCTAGTAGCGCTTAGGTCTCCAACGAAATGGCCTGCAATAGTACAGTAGGCGAAGGGGTTGTAGTCCGAGATCCCCCATCCGCACATCAAAAATATCACTAAACTAAGAATTTTTCAAAAAGTAACTAAAGTGTAGTGCGCAACCAAATCCTATTTTCAGCAGCGTTCCTTCATTTTCGAAGTCCCCCTCCTCGTGGTCGTATTGTGCCTGCTCTGCTAAGGATTCACATTTACATAAGAAATTTTATCTATTTCATGAATAATAAGTTTTGGTGTCTCACTTCACTGTTAGGCATTAAGATCACCATGACTTCGAGAGATCAGAATCCTACTATATATATTACTCGCTATGTATGTCTGTGTGTGTGTGTGTGTGTCTGTCTGTCTGTCACGAAGCTCATAGCGACCGTCCCAGTTGTTATACAGGCTTGTGACGGGGAGTGATACCAGCTGATAAGATCTGATAAGAGGCGTCAGAATTGAGGGTCACCGAGCTCATAGTGCGGGACACAGCAACAGTGGGACGTTAGTTTCAAGGTATGATATAGGCTGTGGACAGGAACATCATTGGTGGGTGACAGGGAATGATATTGGCTGATAAGATCTGATAAGATAGAGCAACATTGGGACGTTTGTTCCAAGGTATGATATAGGCTATGGCACAGGAATATCATTGGTGGGTGACAAGAACTGCTAGCAGCTGATAAGATTTGATAAGGGGAGTTAGAATGGGGAAGGTCACCATATCCACAACGCGGGACACAGCATCAGCTAGGCGTTGATTTCAGCAAATGATATAAAGAGGGAGGTGGGGACGGCGACGGCGGGTGACGGGAAGTGATAACAGCTGATAGGGGCTGATAAGGAACGTTCCCGTTGTTCAGTCAAAGTGCTGGAGGTTTTACACTACCAAATTATAGAGTTTTAGTGATAGCGACTATGTTGACGGGTGTAGTACGAG